AGTCATAGCAATTGGTGAGTCCATCTGATGAATATATAATATACACTTGTTCAGACTTTTATTTTATGTCCATTCTAAGAGAGTTAATATCCTTTTAAATAGTAAATGATCTTATCTAATGGTTTATTACAGATCTATACGCTCTAAAAGGCTTTAAAATAGATGTTATACAAGATAATGGCGATTCAGTTGAATGTTATAAACAACCTAATGATATTCAACCATCTAGTATAAACTTCACAGTAAACTGTAATAAAACAATTTGGGGTAGTAAAATCAATATCTCAAGTACTATTGATATCGAAAATCTTTTCTATGGTTTTTGTGAAGTGGAGGTTTATGGTAAGTATAATTAACATTAGTATTTTGCAAGTTTTATACATCCACATATTAATGAGGACATACATTTTTATCCACATGTTCTGATTTCCTTGTTCAAAGATTAATGTTATCTGAACTTTTAACACCCACATGAAGCGAGACTATGCTGTAAGACACCCTCTGTCGGTCTGTCTATTCACATTTATCTTTTACTTACTTACATGATGATAGTAGTATTTAGTAATACTTCAGTTTTCAGTTTTAATCAAAAAGTAAGGAATTGGACGGCTCGCGCTCTAAAGACTTCAGTAGACCATATGGTGAAGAAGTTTTGTTATTGTAAAGATAATGTTATTGTAAATATGTTGTTATATTACAGTATGCTCCAATAGAACATATGGTAAAGAGTGTGAGAAGTTTTGTTATTGTAAAGATAATGTTATTGTAAATATGTTTTATATTACAGTATGCTCCAATAGAACATATGGTAAAGAGTGTGAGAAGTTTTGTTATTGTAAAGATAATGTTATTGTAAATATGTTTTATATTACAGTATGCTCTAATAGAACATATGGTAAAGAGTGTGAGAAGTTTTGTTATTGTAAAGATAATATTATTGTTAATATTTGTTATATTACAGTATGCTCCAATAGAACATATGGTAAAGAGTGTGAGAAGTTTTGTTATTGTAAAGATAATGTACCATGTGATTATATAACAGGAGTATGTTCAACTGAAGGATGTTTACCATTGTATACTGGATCAAGCTGTAATCAGGGTATGTTTAAATTAATGAAAAAGCGTTAAAATTTCTTCTTTGAAATCGAATTGTTTGTTTTCCTTATACATTGGGGACATGTAACTTTCATTTGCACCATCACTTTTTCATTTCTGACGTCTTATGAATTACAACGTCATCAATTTCATTAAATTGTAAAATTTAATTTGCATACACGCCATAATCCAGTCAAGCTTTTCTAGAAATAACAAATCTAGAATAACAATCCCATATAGAAATTAGTAATGCTATAAATAGTAGACAAATAGTTGTTTTCCTGTAACAAAATGACTAAGATGGCATATTAAACATTTTCGTTGTAAGGACTTTTCACAATGAGAAACTGTTAATGATCTGTAATTATAAGAATAGACTTTACTGGTTGGGCTCAATTCAAATCCTCTGCAATTATTGTTTTAAACCATTTAAGAGTAAATTGATACATGTACTACTAATTCCCATGTGTTTTATTTCAGCTTTTGTTTCAGTGTGTACTGAAGGAAAATATGGTTTGAATTGTGGTCAAGATTGTATTGACAGACATTGTTTGGGATCCCAGCAGACTTGTAATTTAGTTACTGGGAAATGTGATGATGGTTGTGTTCCAGGATATAATGGTATAGACTGTACACAAGGTAAATAACGAGGCTTTACGCCCGAAATGAGGACAATCTAACAGACGAAAGTAACATAATGAAACATCTTTTCCACAACGATAATAATGTATCTGATTAAAATCCATTTATTTTTTTTCTCAATTAACTTCAGTAATCCATATTTAATAACATTTCTTTGCTTATGACATTGTCCAAAATTATTCAATTCTTCTTTCAATTTTTGATAATATTTCTAAATATACTCTATAAAGATATTGGGCTTTATATATTAGAGTAAACCGTTGTTTAGTTTTCAACTTCCTTTCATAAAACTTAGGAATATTATCAAAAGACCAGAAGTTTTGGCAGTTTCGAAATAAGTAAACCCAGTCAACTCGAATATTGAAAAATATTATTAATATTATAAAACTTATTATTATGTGAGCTATTGTAATAAGTCTGTTTTTTAATTCGGACATTTTTCAACGATTGAACTCACTATAATCTTCATGTATATAATTACAGAATGTCCAACTAGAACTTATGGTAGCAATTGTTCACAACTTTGTTCCAACAACTGTTTAAATCTAGAATGTAACAATATGAATGGTATATGTATCGGTGGATGTAAACCAGGTTTTAAATCAGAACTTTGTAACCAGAGTAAGTATTGTATTGACATAAAATATACACTAACAGATATTTGCATGTTTCGTGATGAATAGAGTACCAAAGTCGAAAACAATTATTTAATGTCATTAGGTCCAGGTTTTATATATATTTTATGAACTTTAAAGGTGACTATCCCAGATAGAAAAGTTGGTAACTGTGATAGATGTGCTACAATATTGTCATTAAAATAATATCTGGGTTTTGAAAAAGAACTTCTCGAACCTATGATTAGTAATTAGTAATTTGAATTTGTTCCTTTTCATTTATAAAATTAACAGTGTGTGATAAGACAATATATGGTATAAACTGTAGTAGATCCTGTAATGATAGAAATTGTAATGGTTCCACTGAATGTAATCATATCACAGGAAATTGTACAGCGGGTTGTAAACCTGGTTTTAGTGGTGTTGATTGTACAGAACGTAAGTAGCAATTTATTAATAAGAACGACAAATTGAACAAACCAATGATTTTCACGATATACAACAAACAACCCAACCAAGTTCAATTAATGACAAACGTTTAATTCAATTTTTGTTGAAGGGATTTTGGTCATTTTAACTAAATTCAAAGAATTAATATGTGTATCAATAACTTGATCAATTAATTATTTGAATATGATGATATTTTTTCAGAATGCCCCGAAGCCTCTTACGGCA